GGAACACCAGGCCTGGCCTCCCTTGAGTTTGCTGAAGATCTATTGGGTGTCTCAAATGATGTTTATAGTCGACACTCAAACCTTAATGAATGGACTGCTAAATATTTAACCAAGATGTCCTTTCTTCAAAGTGCTAACAAGTCATTGGAGTTTGACAAGCACTAAAACTAAACAAAAGACAAAGAGTTTGAAGCTTGAAGCGGGCTTGACTTATTATCCCTTCCATTCACCCTCCATTCAGGAAAGCATCCCTAATTCCACAGAGTAATTAACCTCTTGTTTAGATCCCATTGAACTCCTGGAAACAAAGTGTACTTAAATGCCTTCCCGAGGCGAGGACATCCATCCCTCACTTGCTGGCTGGGAGGATGTCATCCTCCCCCTGTTTCTCCAGTCACCAGAGCGTCCGTCCACACCAGGCAAGACCCGAAATCCTAACCCAGAAAAGGAATCGCGATGGAAGAACCGGGTGGGTGACCGGTGGGTGACTGCGCACCAGCCTGAAGTGCGATCAGCCAGCCAGATGGACTGCAAAAAAAGACGGGGGGGAGCCAAGCATCGCAGAAGTGTGAATCTGAATCCCCCACACCATAAAGCAGCCTGGCTAAATGCCCTCAAACGTTAAAGCAGGCGAGCAGACCCTGAAAGGAAGAGAGCTTCTTTCAAGCCAAAACTCTTTTCTTCCGTCTGTGAAGCCACCCTGCGCCCGAAAGCCAAGTCTCCTGCCTGGCACCGCAGCCCCACGGAGCTGCTGCCGCCCGCTCCCGTGCCCACGCAGCCCGCAACGCCTCCCACGCGCTCTCCGGCCGATTTGCTTTGCTTTCCGGGCGTCCCTGGCAGTTCTCAGGTCAGACGTCCAGCACTGTCAGCCCGGGAGGAGGTGTCGGTCACCTCAGCTCTGCACGGGGACTGCATGGCAGGCTGGTATGCCTGAAGCCATCCCATCCCTCTGAACAAGAGCTGCAGAGGCTGCGCAGCTCGTGACCCCGGTGCTGGCAGCCACAGCACCCCTCAGAACACACAGGCAGTGTTTTTTGCTTCTGTCTCTCCCTCCTGCCTTGCAGATTGAAACTCACTGGGGAGAAATGAGTCCAGACGATTCAGACCCCCTCTCTGAGCCTCACCTCTGCAAGGTAAAGGGTCCTCTCTGGCGTGGGCACCTCTCCCCCGAGACCCCGCAGGAGCCATCAGGCTGCCGCTGCCGGCACCACACAGCCGTGCTGCTCCGCGGTAAGGGGCATCCTGCAGCACACACCGGCCCAAACTGCTTTTGAACGAACTAAGCCAAACCGCACGCTGAAGGACTGGGCAAGAGGGAGCTGCCAGCTCTGCCAGCTGCAGGCAGAGACCTGGCAGGAGGCTGGGTTGACCAAGGTGCTCTGGCCAGGCAGGGGCTCCCAAGATGTCCCCGCAAAGCTGGGGACCAGCAAATCACCTCGAGGGACGAAGGTCTGCAAGCCAACATCTGCTTCCCCCACAGATTTCCCATGTCCCAGAGAGACACAGATTCAGCTCCCAGGTGCTGATGCAGCTCAGTGCCCGGCCAGGGTCCCCACAGGCTGGGCTCGCTCTCTGGGACAGAGAGGCCATGCTTCTTCCATGCCTTCCAACAGGGCAATGGTTCCTCCAGCCTGTTTCCAGCCACAGTGCTCCGGCAGTGGGGCCAGGCACAGGCACGTTGCAGAACAGCCCTCGGACAACCAAGCACTCTTGCCAGACAAGAGTGGCTCAGCTGACCCCCAAGAAACCTCTCACATGGGTGCGATGGAGACAGAGCAGCCAAGCTTAGCTACCAGCAGCAACAAGACCTGAGCAAAGAGACCCCCACCACAGTGATGTCTCTTCGCACAAACGTCCATCGTGTTCCTCTCGAAGAACCAACACCAAGCCATGCAGGCAATGGGCAAGGCTGGGTCCGGGGGCAGATCCACATGGTCAAGCCCTGGTGAGGTTCACAACCAACACTGGGGACCAGCAGCCAAGCCAACTCCCTGCGCCTCCCTGGAGCTCGCACTGTGTGCTGCCGCCTGCATTCACCTCCAGGCCAAGCACAGACCCACCGACACCACTTCCAGCCGGAGCTCAGGACAGGGAGCTTTCTGCTCCTTGCAAACTGCGTGTCACCGAGCAAGAGCCCCGGCAGCACGGCATCCCCTCGGCACAGCGACTCGGGATGCTCCTCCTGTCCCAAGGCCCCGCAGCCCCAGGAGCACAGGAGGAGGGAGGGAGCTGGGGCTCATCTTCAGTGGTCTCTAAATGTCACTCATGCCACCCAAGGACAAGGGAGTAGGGATCGGCGCCAGTATAAGGCTGCAAATGAGCTTTCACAGTGTGAGTGATGGAAAACAAATTTTAAAAGGATTAAATGGGAGGAAGAAGGGAGGGGTCAGGTCCAGGCGGGTGAGGGCAGGTGGGCGCAGAGCCCAGCGGGGCAGCCAAGGCACTGAGCACTGCCAGCTCCCGGGGGGCTACCGACACCCTGGGTGGGTTTGCTTCGGGCTTGGTGCTCCCAGCACAGGATTGCCACACAGCATGGGGTGCACACAGCTCACCGAGAGGCCTTACTTAGGGACAAGGCAACCGGAGAGGGCAGAGCAGGCAGAGCTGCCTGCAGGAGAGAGCTTAAGTGACAGAGCTGCAGTGAGCAAGGACAGAGGGGCAGAGAGCGATGCACCAGCAAAGCCAGGATGGAGGGCAGGCAGGCAATAAGGCAGCTGCCGGTTGGAGCTGGGGACGGACAGGGGCTGCCAGGGACAGACAGGGGCTGCAGGGGAGGAGGGGAAGCACTCATGGGGCTGGCAGGCACGGCCACATGCAGGGAGTGTGCACAGCAGGACACAGAGAAGGTGTTAGCTAGATCCCGCTTGTGAAGTTGGATGGCTTGGTGTCAGGGGGAAACGAGAGCCGGCAGAGGGGAGGGGGAGGCAAGACTCCGGCACGTCCGGGCCAGCTGGCTCTGGCCCAGGCAACTTTCTTCAGCTTTCCAAAGCCAATTTCCTTGGAAATTCTCCTAAAGCCTGGCGGCTCCCTCGGGGTGGCTCTGGAGTTGATCCTATCCGGAACGACCCTGAGCAGCAGCCTCCCCATGCACGTGGGGGGAGCAGAGGGGAGTCCACCCCGCACCCCACGAGTGCCAGAAACCCCCGTTACCTGCCCATGGGAGAGCAAACCTGTGCAACGTGCCGGGAAGGTCCCGAGGCAGGGCAGGAACGAGCAGCCCCCAAACACAGCCCGCGCCGAGGCGAGCCAAGCACTCACCGAGGTGTTCTGGCACTGGATGCTGGTGCTGTTGAAGCGCAGGGCGGTGACGCGGGTGGTGCTGCCGGGGATGTGGAAGATGCACTCGTAGTTGCGCTGGCCGGACTGCGGCTGAGGCAGGTTCTTGGCCGTCAGGGTGATGGGTTTCACCACGCCCACGGGGATGTAGATCTGGGTGGAGGGCAGGATCTGGGGGCAGTCCTGCAAGGGGAACAAGGGGCAGATGATGAGAGGGGAACACTGCACAGCCTGCCCCAGCACCCCCAGGACCCACCCTGGGCTGGCAGGCTGGGCAATATGCTGCAGAAAGACCACTCCGAGCACACGCTTGAGTAAATCTTTGCGTGCAGCCAACCACAAACAAGCATCTCATGGCTGCTCTGACTAAAGCCCTGAAGACAGAGGAGAGCACAGAGAAACCTGGTGGTAGGACAGTGGGGTGTTTTCCACAGCTCAGGCTGATCCAGGCGGGAGGTAGGGAGAGAATTCAGCTATGGGACCTGTAACGTGGCGCTGCGACAGCAGCACACACTTTGGTGAAATGACTGGTAATGAGATGGGCTTTAATGCCATCATTGCAGTCAGTAGGTTTCAGAGTTAACACCTACTGGGCTGTGTATTATCAGGCTATCCTCTCAGTCCTCCTGTTTTCCTTACAGCCTCCATCCCCCTTCCTTCACAAGCCGACAGAAAAGCCTTTTCCCCCCTTTGACACAGCAACATGCTTCTGCAGTGATGCAGAGAACCTGCTCTGCAGCGAATATGGCTGCCGGTGCTTCTGTCCATGGCCAAAAAGCAGCATCACCCCAACCAGCCTGGCTGCAGGCTGCCCAGAAGACAGCGGCTCTGGCAAGTGGATGCTGGTGAGTGGCGAGGAAGGCGAGGGCGGGGGGCTCGGCCCCGCCCTGCCAGCCCCCCACGCTCCCCAGGGAAGCAGCCGTCGTGAGGGCAAAGCACTCGACTTTTAATAGCCACTGGCTCCCAGCTGCTCCGGGGCAGCCGATCAGCCCTGTGTGTAAAGCACAGGGGAGCAGGAGGGAGCAAAAATAAATGAGCTCAGGCAGCAAAACAGCTCCGTGGCCCCGGCGGGTGCCACTTGGGGAACAACAGCCTGATGCAACCCCACGCCGGCCTTGCCGAGCCTGGCGGAGGTCTCACACCTACTCCTGGAAACATCAGCTTCAAATAACAGCAAAAGGGGAATAACGTGCGCTGAAATGAGCTGCTCTGAAAACAGAGGCGGCAGCAGCAGTGCCAGGGGTGGACGCAGCCCCCCCGGTGCTCTTGCCATGGCACGGCTGTGGGGACCCCCGCCCCGGGGACCCCCGCGCATGGCCAGCGCTGCCCGGCTGCCTCCTGCCACCCCGCAGCAAGCTGGGCCGGACCTCGCGCAGCACCGCTGGGCTTTATCTCAGCCTGCAGGACTAATCTAACTTTCAAAGGATGCAGAGAATGAAAAACAAATTGTTTCATTTAGCAAATACTGACGGAAAACTCCGACTCGTTTTACGCTAAGCTTCCTGTTCTTTGCAAGCCTGTATTCCCCAGAAGTGCTATTTTGAAGGGAAGAAACTATTTATCCTCCAAACCTGCTAAACAAAATGAAAGCAGAGAGGAAGCGATGCCAACCCCAACCCGGAGACGGTGATGGGGCTGGGACAGCCTGGGGACCCTCGGCGCTGCTGCGCTACCTCCCTGCTCCGTATCCTGCTGCCCCTCTGCACAGCCGGGCTGAAGCTGCCCCCGCTTCCAGAACCAGCTCGGGGCTCACAGCAGGGACACCCTGCATGCCCACTGCCGTTGAGAATGAGCGGTCCCCATCACTGCAAGGCTGCTCCCCACCGCCTCCCAGCACAGAAGTGCTGACAGAGGGAGATGTCCCTGCCTGCTTGATCCCGCTGGGCATTGCAGGGGGACCCCGCGGGTGGCACACGCCATCCCCGCAGGACATGCTTGGTGAGGATTAGCTCCCAGCTCGCTCTCCAACACCTCCACCTCCTCACTTTTCTGTAATTATCGCTGCCAGCTCGGCTGGGGAAGGTGGGTAAGTCCATGCCACCCCAGCTGGGCTCACCACGGATGCTCGCAAGACGGGGGCCCGTGTGTCCCTCTCCCCGCGCAGGCAGGCGGGGGGGGCCGTCTTTGTGGATCGCGGGTT